GCCGGAGCCTTGGTTAATGCCCATGGTAAACTGAGTCAGTAGGGCTAGATCCCTGGCTTTATTCTTATAAAGTCTGACATTGTGGAAAGACAGAAACATGTGTGAGACTGCTACTTTGATAGCCATGTCCCGCTCACGACAGGAAGCTGGGGGCCACGAATCCAGATTCAACATTCAAGCGGAGCACAAGCTTCACGCACCATAGGGAACCTCCATGTCACCTCCCCTGCCTACAGGGCTCTCTGTTCCCCACTGTGTTCCCTCCACACAGCTCCAGCATTTCCTCTTTCATTCCACACATCCTCTGTGCTGAGGACATAGAATCCACTGAGACACTGCCTCTACGCTCAGCAAGCCAGGCTGGCAGGGGAGATGGACACAGGAGCTGACAGTAACAGCTGACGGAATGGGGCCCTGATGTGGAAGCCTGGAGGAGGAGCCTGACAGTCTCAGGTAAGGGGCATTGACAGCAGCCAGCACAGGCTCTGAAGCAGCAGAGCAGCTTCTGCTTGTAGAAAGACCCAACAGTGAGAGGAAGACCCCCCACACCAGACACTCTCTCCCTGAATGAACTCACCCAGGCCCAGGGAAGTGTTTGACCTGCCCATCATTTGTGGCTTCTGGAGGAGGTGACACCTAAGCTGAGTCCTAGGTATAATCCAGGAGGGGAGTGACCCTCCAGTTGTCTTATTCCCTGCTAGGGCCTCAGTTCTAGAACTATGTCTGCACATGGTGGGGGCTCGATAAAGGCTTGTGGAATGAATGAGTGAGCAGGTGTCATCTTGTGGAAAAGGTGCTTCCAGCAGAGGATCCAGTATGAACAAAGCCCAGTGTACCTGTGAAAATAAGAAGCTTGGCTGGGAGCAGGGGCACGGCAGGCCTTGAAGGCCATGGCAAAGATTCTAGTCTGGATGCTAAGGGCAATGCGGAGCCACAGAAGGGTTCTGGGCAGGAGCATAGGCTGAGCACGTGTTTTTATACCCTCTGATTGCATATGGAGTACAGAGGTGGAGAGTTCCTAGGAAGGTTGGGTCCAGGCAAGAAATAGGGTGGCTTGGCTGGGGGTATGGGCAACAGGAATGGAGAGAAGTAGACAGACTGAGATGTGATGGTAGAACTGGCAGGGTGTGGTAACAATGGGCATTGGAGGGCAGACAGTATGAAAAGGAGATGTCAAGGGCAGCTTCCAGGTTTCCCATGGGCACCTGGGTGGATGTCGCCCCCTTCAGCGAGTTAGAAAATGCAGAAGGAGGAGTGGGTGTAGAGGAGAGGACAGTGGGGTTTGGGTCTCTTGAGAAAAGGTTCCTGAGGTATACCCAAGAGGGGCAAGCACAGGTGGTTGGATCCAGGTGTCTGGCACTCAGCAGGGCAGTCTGGGTGAGGAGAGGCCCCAGCTAACACTGCTTCTGCAGAGCCAGCTGCCTCCCCCCAACTCTATCCTGCTCCACCCTCAGGGCTCTGCCTCACCTCCTGTCCCCTGCCCCCCCTCCCCAGACACACTCAGACATACCCATCCTGACAGCTCCCCCTACTAACTCCCCCCTACCAGGCGAGGGCCCTGGTTCCAGCAGTGAACACAACAGACTAAAATGCCTGCCTTTATTCTAGTGGGAAGAGCAGGCAACAAACAAGCAAACAGATGACCTAATGTCCGGAAGGGATGAGGGTTACAAAGAAAAACAAAGCAGAGGAAGGTGGTAGGCGGTGAGGGAAGACCTCCCAAGGAGGCGACACTTGAGCAGATCCCTAAGAAAGAGGGAGTAGCAAGCCCTGAGGACATCTGGGGCAGAGAGGACAGGAAGGCAGAGGTCCTGAGGCTCCCTGGTGGTCCTGGTAGGGCAGCAGAGTGGCCTGGCAGCACCTCGGCCTTGCTTCCCAGGTTTCTCTAATAAAGTTCCTTTCGGTCCCTCATTGAGTCAGGAGCTTTCATTGTAAGAAGCTCGATTCATATGGCCAGACGTCCTGCCTGACTCTGACCATGGTCACAGCAGCCACACCCACTGGCCAGCCGCAGAATGCCTCAAGTGGATTCCTCCAGCCCTATGCAGACCACATCATGGGCCTTGCTGCCCTCCCCGCCCCCAAGCCCAGGCTTCTCTAGGCACATATTCCTATGCCTCTGAGTGGGTGAGCTTGACTCTCTGCCACCTGAACTGCCTCTATCCCCTAGTCCTCCTGAACCATGGACCCCCTACCTGTACCCATGACCTCCCCTTACCCATATCCTCAAGCCTGTAACTGCAGGTGGTGAGCTCAGCCTGGTCATACCAGCAGTATTCTGCCCTTCACGCCTATACCCAGGCAGACCAGCCATACCCTCTACATGGCCCAGCCCCCAATCCTAAGGCCCAGCCCCCCAGCGGGTACCTCCCTCATGGCCCAGCCCTCCTGCACACCCTTCACCAGGGACCAGCAGATGGGTGGGCTCAGGGCAGCCATACCAGTAGCATGCCACAGGGACATAGCCTAGCCCCGCCCCTTACCTGCAGATGGGCGAGGTCAGCCCAGGCGCGGGGGCCCAGAGCCCGGCTACGCAGCCGGTTGCCTGTGAGGTAGAGCTCACGCAGCTGGGCCATGCCGGCCAGAGCCCCGCGTGCCAGGGCGGCCAGCTCATTGCGCTTGACCTTCAGCACGTGCACGTTGCGGGGCAGCCCCGGCGGCAGCGTATGCAGTCGGTTGCCGGATAGATCCAGCGAGCGCAGCAGGCGCAGCTTGCGGAAGGCGTCGCGGTGCACTTGCGGGCTGGTGATGCGATTGTAGCTGAGGTTGAGCTCCTCCAGGAAGTAGGTGGTGGCGAAGTCGTCGCGGCCGATGCCAGTGATCTGGTTGTGCAGGATCATGAGGGTGCGCACGCGGCGGGGCAGGCTGCTGGGAACGCGCTCCAGCGCGTTGTTGTACAGGTGCACCGTGTGTAGCCGCTTGAGGCCCTGGAAGGCCCGCGGGTGGATGCCGTGCGCGCGCAGCTGGTTGCTGTGCAGCAGCAGGTACTCGAGGCTGCGGATGGGGGTCAGCACGTCCGCATCCACGCTCCGGATGGCGTTCTTTTCCAGGTGCAGCAGAACCAGGCTGCGTGGCAGCCCTGCTGGGACCCGAGACAAGTTGTTGCTGGACAGATCCAGGTACTCCAGGCTGGAGAGCTTCCTGGGAGGGGCAAGGGAGGGAAATTAGGACGTTTGGCTGGAGTCCTAATTTCCTAATTTGGCTCTGTCCTCTCCAAGCCTCTCATTGGGCTATTCATCGACATTGGTGTAAGAAGGATCTAGCATGGTTCTGGACACTAGGGGTTTGTTTATTCGAAGACCAATTGTTTAAGGCCTTTTGTGGCTACACTGGGCCCTAAGGAAAATGAAAATCTATTTGCCTTCCCCAAGAATGCTTCAGTTTCTATTTTGTACCAAGACGCCAGCCTCTGCAAACCCTTCCTTGCCTCGTTGGGATTTTGGCAGGCCTTATCCATATGTATCGCTTGTTCTCAGGCATGGAAATGTCAGCAGAGGCATGAGACTCAAAGTTCCTTCTCCAGGGAACTGGCCAGGGCAGGTGGGCGTGGGACGGCCTCCTGGGTGGTCCCTAGGAGGAGCTTCCCTGGGCACCTTGTCCCCCGAGGGCTCTGGCAGGGGCTCACCAGAAGGTTTCGTTGTCCAGGCCCTCATCAGTCAAGTAGTTGTTCTGCAGGTAGAGCTCCCGAAGGTTGCTCAGCTCACTGAAGGCACCTGGTGGGATCTTCTCCAGCTTGTTGTTCTGGGGGATGGGGCCGTGGGGAAGGGAATGTGAGGGATAGCCAAGGTGCAAGAGCAGAGTCTTGGGAGGAGATATGGAGAGGGGTCTGTGGAAGACACAGGGAGCGGGCCCAGGCCTAGAGTACTCCAGGTGTGTGGCTGACGGCCAAGTGCCCAGGCTTCTGCCTACTTCTCTGCAGTAGACACTGTGCCCTCTGGCATGTGCCCAAGGCCCCACAGCCTCACCACTGTGCCCATGTGGGCCTGGGCTCTTACCCCACTGTGGGTCCCTGCTCTGGGGGTACCCCTTCCTGCCCTCTCCCTCCCACCTTGAGGTGCAGCTTGTAGAGAGCAGGCGGCAGGTGCTTGGGCACGTGGCGCAGGAAGTTGCTAGACAGGATGAGGATCTCGACGTTGCTAGAACCATTGAACATGTTGTCTGGCAGCCCGGCGTCCGCCAGCTTGTTGTTGTGCAAGTACACAGACCTGGGGGACAAGGCACAGGTCGTCACCCACCCAGGCTCCCAGCCCCAGCACTAGCCCACCTGGTGAGCCTCCAGACTTTGTTCAGGTTGGGCCTGGGGCCCAGGATACCCTCTTCCCTTCTGAAGACCCTCAGACCCCACCTAATCCAGTTCTCCCTACACGGTTGAGGGGACCAAGGACCCACCTACACAGCTGAGGGGACAAAGTTAGTGGCAGAATTAGGATTTCCTGATCCCCAGTCTGTGTGCCTCCATACCCTTCAGGGTTCTCAGTCATTTCCTGACTGTCCCAGCTCTGGATTCCTTGCCTGTCAAACCCACACAGTTGGCTCTGAGTTCCATGGGACTCGCTGAAGATGGGGAGTGTCTCTGATGCCCAGCACAGGGCCTGGCTCAGAGGAGATGACATCTCATTCATTCATCAAATATATAGTGAGTGCCCTTACATGTTAGGACTGTTCTAGACTCTGAAGATGTAGCAGTGGAAACAGCCAACAAGACCCTGCCCTCGTGGAGCTAACATAGTAGGAGGAGAGAAGACAAGGAACAAAAGAAACACATAGAAGATACAGCTCATTCTTGCTGTATGCCTCTCTTGGGCCTCAGCCTTCTCATCTGTGGTATGGGACCACACACAGCGGCCCTGGCTTTAAGGGAAGATGGAAAGAATTGAGTGAGGTGACAGATTCAGGGACAAAAATGGCACCAAGGATAGTCAGCCTCATCCCAGCACTACCCTGCCCTGCCCACACACCTGGGCCTCACTTTTACCAAAGCAGCTCTCAGCAAGAGACAGCACTGCCTGTTGGAAGATGCTTTTACACCAGGGGCTGGGGAAGGAAGAAAGCACCCTTACCCAGCTCCCACAACCCTTCAGACATCACCCTCTGTCTTCGCCTCCTGGACTGATTTCTCTTCACGCTTTAGATCTTGGCCTTTGGATCCTGTGCCCCTGCCACCCCTGGGCGTCCCTCACCACTGCCCTGAGCATGGGCATCATGCCTACACTGCAGGGCATGGCCCTCTTCCAGAGCTTGTTTGGATCTTCTCTGCCTCACTCAGGGTGGCAGCCTCTGCCTCAGCTCCTCCCACCACCCCAGCCTGAGCCCAGGGTCCCCCTCTGACCTCTGACCTCAAGTTTGGCTTCTGGCCAAAGGTGAGCCCGTAGATCTTGGTGAGATAGTTGGCAGCGAAGTCCACACTGATCAGGGTGTTTGGCAGGAATCGGGGTGCCAAGGTCAGCTGGAAAGGGGAGAGTTGGGGTAGGAAAATGAATGGAGGGGCAGAGGCCAGCTCTGGGTGCCACTGCTTGCTGCTTATCTGGGCCCCTTTGATTTGTCTCCTCCCTGTAACCAAAGCCATCTTTCTAAAATGGAAACTGGTCCCACTCCCCTGATAACATAAAAACAGAATGTCTATTGCTCCCATAGCCCTTGAGCTAGACATTCAAAGCCCACCAGGCCTGTCCCCTGCCCTGCCTGTCCTCCTGGTCTCTCCCCTCACTGGTCCCCAATGCTGGCCCTCTGTCCAGCCACAGCGAGCATGCTCACTTCCCAGACACAGCCCACAGTGTCCACCCTTCATTCATTCAACAGTAAACCCTGAGTCTACAACATTCCAGGCACGGTTCCAGAAGCTTGCTGGGCAAGTCCTGGGGAACAAGACAGAGAAGTACCCCTACCCCGCCCCTGCCCCGCCCAAGCTTGCATCCTATGGAGAAAATAATAAACAGGGAATAAAAGTATTTGATAGTGATCTCTGCTATGCAGGGAATTCAAACAGGCTGAAGAGAGAGAGTGACTGGGTTAGGGGCTCAGGGAACAGGTGACGCTTAAGGCATGATGGCACCACAAATGTCATCTAAGGGGAGAACACCCACAGCAACAGGAGTACTGAGTGTAGGACGGGCATGGGGGTTTGTGGGATGTGGGGCCTGGAGTTGAGCAAGAGGGTGGGGAGACAAGTTAAGAGAGGCCCGCAGGACACAGGGAGAAGTGTGGCTTTTATTCTGGGCCAAAGCCAAAGCCATTGTGGATGGTTTCAAGCAGGGAAGGGGGATGTAGGGGAGAAGCGGGGCATGATTTTTGAAGGTCACTGTGTATACTCTGAGGAGAAGGGCAGCAAACGAGGAGGCAGGGGCACCCAGGTGTGGGATGGTGGACCTGTGCCAGGGGCCTGAGGGCTTGCAGTGGGACTGGATGTGGTGAGTGAAGCACTCCTGAGTTTGCCCTCAGACCAGCAATGCTGTAGATGATTGGAGATGCCTTTTACAGAGATGGAGAGACAGCAGGAGGATTGAGGGCTGTGAGTGGGAAGCAGTAATTCTACTTCCATTGGACATCTAGGGGAGACATCCAGGAGTAAGGCGGATCTTTGAGTCTCAAGTAGGAGGAGTGGAAGAGGCTGGTGAATGCCATTGGATGTGGCCATGATGTAGATAGACTCTTCCAGGGAGAAAATGGGTCATCTCCAGAGAGTTCAGAGTGTGGGGGCCAGGACAGAGCCCTGGGGCTTGCCAAATATTTTGAGGTTGAGTGTGTTTGTGCCTTTTCTCTTGCTGTTCCTTCTACTGTAGTGCCCTCTGCCTTGGGACTCCTGCCTGAATTCCTGTTACCCTTCAAGATCCTGCAAATGCCATTTCCTCCAGGAAGCCCTGAAAGTGACTCCGGAGTTTCCCTACACTCCTGTAAGCCTTGGCCTCTGTCTTCACTGACCACTCTGATGCCCTGGGTAAAAGTGTGGGATCTGGACCATGTCTGAGCAGCAACAGGGACCCAGGGGCCAGCCCAGAACAGGCCCTGGTGAAAGTTTCCTGAGCTCAACCCCTGACACCAGGGGGCTCGGGCAGCACACCTCCACCCTGCTGCAGGCCCCTCACCTTGTTATTGGCCAGGTACAGGTAATTGAGGTTGGTCAGATGCTCAAATGCCTCCTCCGGAAGCCCTTCAAAGGACAGGCATCGGTCAGAGCCCTGGATGAAGGAGACGCTACAGGGGAGCACACCAGCACCAATCCCCCCAAGCCCACCCCACTTGCCCGGACTGGGGAGGGCACTCCCTGAGGCAGGTGTGGCTCTGTTCCCTTCCCAGCCAGCCCCACATGCCTGCCCAGCTCCTTGCTTACAGGAGCTCACATTCAGAGGAGCAGATGGGAAGTGTCCACTGAGGGATGACTATTCCTTCACCTGGGCCACCTGGGTGGGAATGGGTCCCCATAAGGTCAGGCCATTGGACAGAGCCTGACCTTTCCCTGCCAGGAAGGAGTGCTCTCCTGGGGGGACCCCCAACGGGTCATACCTGGCCCCATGGCAGGGCTGGACTGCAGCCTTTAGGCCTCCACCATCTGGCCCACCCCTGCCCCATCTAGCGTCAGGACTTGGCTGTCACTGGGAGCTCGGCCAATCTGGCTCTTCTCCAGGCCTGAGGCTGGCCTATGACACTCGGTTCCAGGCTCCCAGACCCTCAGACGCTGGGACTCACCCAATTATCTAATGAGAGGGAACAGTTACATAAACTGTGCAGCATCCCTCCATGGAATACCCTGTTGCTGCTGCTGTTGCTGCTGCTGCTGCTGCTGCTGTGTAAAATGGTGGCCATGGAGAGTTTTAGCAACATGAAAAATGCTGCTGAGCTAACTGCTGAGAGAAACAAAGCACTTCCAATAGGTATAATACCTATACTAGAAATTCCGCTAGGAATTAAAAAACACAAAAAAGACTGGACTGGATTGTGAGGATGGTTGTACAACTGTATAAATTACTAAAACTCATTGAATTGTACCTTTAAGTTGGATGAATCTTATGATATACAAATTACACCTCAATAAAGCTGCTTCTTAAAAAAATAGAAATATACCAAAATGCCAATAGTAACGAACTCCCAAGTGGCAGAATTATGACTGGGCTTTTATTTTCTATTTTACTTTCTATATTTCCAATTTTTCTATTATAACCAAAATTACTTTCATCATCAGAAAAAAAAATCACTTTTTAATACTTGAGGACTCCATAACCCTTTGATTCTAAAGACCTTCTGTGAACTGAGGCGTCTACAACAAAGGTCTCTAAAGCCTCTCTCCTGAGCCAACTCTCAGGTCTCAGAGACACCCACAGGGAGCAGGACCCACTGCCAGCCCAGCCCAGACCTGCTGTTTTCCACATCCTGGGGTCTACAGGGTGGGGCTGTCCCCAGGGACACTGAATTCCCTGCCTGGCGGCCCCATCCCTGGCTCTGGGTGATCTCTCACCTCGGGAAGTCAGGCGGTTGTTCTGAAGGTTCAGAGTCTCCAGCTGATGCAGCCGGGAGAGCTCCTGGGGGTAGATCTTCTCCAGCTGGTTATTCTGGGGAAATGGAGGGAGGAAGTGGTGAGGCGGCTGCATGGGGGTAGGCCCGCCCCGATCCTCAGCTCAAGTCCCAGGAGCCATTCCCTCTGTTGGGCACCTCCTTTGGAATTCTCCCCTGTAGTGGACAGACCCTGGGTGCTGGCTCTCGGCCAGGCTCAGATCTGGGTGGGCACAGTAGTGACCACAACAGACGTGTGGGTTCCACCTTCTAGGAGCCCATACATACAGTGTTCACAGGCAGTTCAAACTTGAAGTGTCGTTTCCCCTCCAGACCTGCTCCCTTCATGTCCAACCTGATGTCCCTCCCTAGCCCATTCTCTCCACCCCAGCTCTGCATTCCTCTACCCCATAGAACGCTTTAAAACCTGGGTCAGGTACCATCTCCTCTAGAAGCCTCCCTGGGTTGGACTGGGAGCTGGATTAGGAGCTGCTCCAGGTTTTACAACTAGTTCTTCTATCTTCATCTGTTATCTCTACCTGTTTAGGTCTCTGCCTCCCTCACAGACTGTGAGCACCTCAAGGGGAGGGCAAGTCCAAATCCTCCCTACATGCCCAGCACTGTACACAGGACCAAAGGCAGAGAGTAAGTACTCAGGAGATATTTTATGAATGGATGAGCGAGTGAACGAACCAACAACAAGTGCTATTGTCAACTTGTCCCTTTCCTTCATAGGCTACCCTCCCTGGGCTTGGGCTCCCACCTCCTGCCAGCCCAGACCCACAGGGCTGTGTGACCCTGGGCGAGTCACTTTTCTTCACTGGACCTGATCTCCTTTGGAAATGGGTGTAACAGTACCTTCCTCTCCCTCAGGGCTACCAGGCCACACAAGAGTGATCACAAAGTGAGCCCGTGTTCCCGGAGTCCCAGCCTGGAACACTGTGTCCCACTTCCTGTACCTCAGCTGGAGAGAGCCCTCTGTTCTCTGAGCCCCCAGAGCGCTCTATCGGGGTCCACTTTGCTCTTGTTTTCCTGGCCTGTCATGGTGTCTAAGGTGCCCTGACTATCTATTCAGAGGGTCAGCTACTGGGCGGGCCTGTGTCCATTTTCTGACAGGGACTGATTTAGCTCATGGGCCTCAGCCCAGGCTCCCTGCAGTGAAACAAAGCAGGTTATATCATGGTGCTCTGTGACCAGGACACCAATCAGCATGGGGACACCTCATGGTGGAGTCAGATCCTTGTGTCTGACCTGCCCTACACCATGTGTCTGGGGGTTCTGGGCAAGCAGGAAGCTGTGACTGGGGGAAGGGGGGTTCTGGGACAAGAGTTGTGAGTGTCAGAGCAGCCCCTGGTGACCATTGGTGCAGGGCTGGCCTCACCTGCAGGGACAGGTGGTTGGTGTGTTCAGGCAGGTCCCCTGGGAACTCGCGCAGGTCAATGCCGCCACAGTCCACAACACCCTCCTGGGAGCAGGCACAGTCTCGGGGACAGTTGATGGTGGCCGGGCCAGGCCCCGGCTGCTCAGGGCTCAGGACCAGCACAGGCTCCTCCTCCACAAATTCGTTCTCTTCAGGGCTCAGGCTGTGGGCGCCATTTCGGCCAAACACAGGGGCCCTCACCGCAAGTGCTGGTCCCAGCTGCAGCTGCGATGGCAACAGCAGCAGGAGCAGCAGCGCTTTATTCCGGGCCATGGTGCCTGCAGGAGGGATTGCATCAGACCCACCTTGGCACCAGGGCTGACTTAGCCTGACTTAACCATTAGGCACCAGGTTAGGGCCCACAAAAGTCATAATGGGGCCCTCCTTGGCACCAAGCATAGCCCACTCTGGACCCTGTCCTCAGCATGCATTGATCTGCTGACTAGCGCCCTCCCCTCACCACCCACCCCATCAGGGTTGCCCTCTGGAGGGGTGAGGTGAAGCTCTGTCTTTAGGCAGGTCTGTGAAACCTCCTGCAACCCTCATCAGGACTGGCCCCAAGGAATCTGTACCCCCACTTCATGGAAGAGGGAGCTGAGGCCAGGAAGAGCTGTGACGTGCAGGACTTGGCCTGGACTTTGCTGAGCTCTCGCTGCCCTGGCACAGGCAGTGTTGGGAGGCCTTGTCCCTTCTCCAGCCTCCACAAGCCATGGTAAGCCAGGACCAGCAGAGTGTGTCCCAGCTCTTCACTTGCCATTCTAGGATCTTCAGGACTTGGCCCTGCCTCTCTTCCATTGCCCCCACCTACCTGCCCCAGTTATACAGGTCTGTCTAGTAGTGCCTCCCCTAGGCCTTTGCCTATGCTGTTCCCTCTGCCTGGAATGCCGTCCCCCTCTCTTGTGCAATCAACAACTTCTCCAAGAACCAATTCCAGCATTGTGTCCTATGGAAAGACTCTGAGATGCCCCAGTGCTCCCCATTACTGTGGAAATCTGCCAGTGCCACCTCCCAGTGCCAGTAGTGACCCCAGTGCCGCCTCCCCATCCTCCATCCCCCAGGGTTTGGCATGAGTTGGTTTGGGTTGTGAACGTGTGAAGGTGTCTTTCTCCCACACAGGGCTATGAGCCACTCTCTGTGTCTAGGGGGAGGCCCAGCCCAGAGCCGGGCACAGAGTAGGCATCAGTGAATGGAGCTACTGCTGCCCCAGGACTTGCTATGCTCACATGACCGCTGGCACCTGCAGGAGACCACTCCCCAGCATGGTCCCCTGGTGCAGCAGGGCGTGGGGTACAGGAGATGGCCTCAGGCCGTTGATGAAGATGCTGGGGTTCCATAGTCCCAGCAGCCCCATGGGTCTGGCTTGGCTCTGGACTGGTCCCCGGAGTTCATTTTTCAGGAACTCACTCATAAAACATCTCTGGGGGTATATAATAAGTTGTGGCAGGTGGTAGCTCAGCTACACTGGCTCTGGAGTCCCACAGACCCCAGTCAAGTCCCCTCCCATCACTTAGCAGCTCTGTCCTCTCTGAGCCTCAGCTTCCTCATCTTACAGATAACACGTCTGAACTCACTTCTGTGAGGAGTCCTCAAGGTAACAGATCAAAGTGTTTGGCACCTATTAGGTGACAGGCACAGCTATCATCGCCGCAGTGAATATGCAAGCATCCAGGCCTGGGGGCACCATTCCTCAGTCTGAGCCTCTCCCCCATACCATTAGATTGGGGAGCACAACCCACAGAGCCATTAGAAGGGTCTGATGAGATGCTGGGCCTGGGAGGGCTGGGTAAGCTGGGAACTTGACAATGACATTGATGTCTTGTTAAGAAGGCAGGCTCTGGAACTAGACAGCCAGGGCTGCAAGCTCAGCTCTGGCTCTTATCAGCTGTGGCACTTTAGGCAAATGTTGTCACCCTCAGCTTCCTCACCCATCCATGGAGGGGTAATAGGGCTGTCCTAATGGGGAGGCTGTGAGAGTCACTGGGATGCACGAACTGTACACAGTAAGTGCTCAGTAAGTGCTCTTCCCACCACTAATATCTGATCTATGGGCCTTGTTCACATCCCAACCACACCACTGCCCACTCCAAAACCCTGTGCTTCTCCCCTTTCCCTTGTCTAGATCCTGCTTGTGTTTTTTGGTCCAGTCCCAGGCACATCTCCTTCCAGAAGATTTGCAGATTCTCGCCTCCTGGGAATTCCTGCCTCTCTGGGGCTGCTGCAGCATTTCAAACACCACTCTGCCTTACTCCTTGGCTCAGCCAGCTCTCCAAGGTGAGGCCCCATCTGTCCCTGGCCCTGTGCTGGGCATGGGAGGGATACAGGTGAGATGCATAAGTTCTCTGCTATCGGTCTGGTGGGGGGCATCAGACCCCAGTATAATAACCATTGTCCCCAGACTGGGTGAGCCCTATAAAAGAGGCACAAGGCCTCAGAGGAAAAGGTTGAGGAGGGAGAAGAGGGACAGCAGCCAGGCTTACTTGACCCTATAGGTCCTCAAGGCCTAAGCAGACTCGGGCCTCAGCCCCGGCCTGGCAGGGAACCAGGGAGCCCAGCACATACAGTCTCAGGCTCTGGGGATCAGTCGGTAGCACCCTGGCCCTATGCCCACCCTATCATATCCCTGCTGCCCCCATCCCTTGAGCAAATGGACAATAAATCCTTGGCCAGTCTACAGACCATCATTCCCATGGCACATTATAACCCCAAGCAAGCGCAACAGACTTCAGCCACCAGAGCCACCAGCATTAGTCTGTCTGACCCTGCTTCAGATCAGGACTCTGGGAGGGGGCGTGTGGGCCCAGGTCCCAAATTCAATCAGGGCAGAAGACCAGGGAGAAGGATCCTTTCTACATATCCTGTGCACTCGCTGGACCAGCTATTTTTCCTCCTTCATCTTCAGTTTTATATCTGTAAAGATCTGTAAGCTGTATCTGTAAAAATATGTAAAAATATATAGCATTATGAGCTATACTGAAAATGTTATCACCACTTTATAGATGAGGGAGCTGAGGCCCAGTAGGATTGGCCAATATAACACAACTATTAAATGGCAAAGCAGAGCTCCCAGCCCAGGTCTTAACCGCAATGCTATGGTTAATGCAAAGCACAGGTGGGCACTGAGGACACAGACAGACCACTCAGGCAGGGCTCCTGCCCTTAAGAAGCTCATACCTGGCCTGTCCAATGTGATGGCCACATGTGGCTGGCTACTGAGCATCTGAAATGTGGCTAGTCTAAACTGAGAGGTCCCGTAAGTGTAAAATGTAGTGTACATGGGTTTCAAAGACTTAGTACAAAAAAGAATGTAAAATATCTCATTATTATATTAGTGATATCTCATAAAATATCTCATTTATTTTTATATTGATTACATGATAGTATTGTGGATCTTTTGAGTTAAATGAATTATTAAAATTAATTTTACCTGTTTTTTTTTTACTTTTTTTAATGTGGCTTCTAGAAAATTTTACATAATATTTGTGGCTTGCATTAGTAGCTCACACTATATTTCTATTGGACATTATGTATAAATTGCACTCGTGGCTCACATTATATTTCTATTGGACATTATGTGTAAATTGAGTATTATAATCCCAATGTCATCAGAGTGTGATGGAGGAAAGCTACAGTCCATAGGAACCCAGAGGAGGCCTAACCCTGCCTGGGGCTAAGAAGGCTTCCCAAAAGTGATGCCTTATTGAGCCATGAAGGATGACTATCAGGCAAAAGAGAAAGGGTGATACAAGCAAGGGGTCAGCATGTGCAAAGGCTTGGGGGCAAAACAGCCCATGTTATAACCTCTACAAAGCTGACTAGCGTGTCTGGTGGAGGTTGGGGACTGGGCCTGGTGCAAGTAGGCAGTACTACAAGTCCAGGTGAACAAGGGACTTAAAATCTAGGTTAGGGAGACTGGCCATTTATTTTTGGGGAGATGAAGAGCTATTGAAGATCAGGAGTCTATTTTAGGCAAGTTTATGGACCAATGGGGAGCTCTCAGAGGCTGTGCAATGGTGCAAGCAAGGAGGGAGGTGCTAAGCTGCAGGGATGGAGTGGAGGAGCTGGAATCGAGGGACAAGGAGGAATAACAGACAGGGCTTAGAGAGGTGACCCCAGTGTCACCTCCTCCTCCTTCCAGCTTGACCACCCACTATCATGACCTTGGGATCCTGGGAAGCTCCTTCACCTGGTTTGCTATGTGACCTTGGCCACATCACTGACCCACCTGAGTCTCACTTTTCTATTGTTGTTGTTCTAAGAATGTTGAAAAACATAATCCTCCAAGGCCCGTTCTATGTGCCCAGCCATGTAGGATCTGTGTGTGTGGAAGAAGAGGACAGAGCAGACCCCTGGTCTCTGAAAATCCCGAGTGAGGAGTCCCCCTGGTGAGGGAAAACTCACACCTTTGGGAAAGCAAATGCCTGGCGAGAGAAGCAGCTGTAGAGCTTCTGCGATGGAAGTACCTGGGTTCCAATCCTGACTACTGTGTGAGCCTCGATGAGTCACTTCAGTGCTCTGAGCCTCTGTTTACTAGTTTAGGCAATGGGGATGGGAGCGCCTCATGAGGATTAAATAAAATGACATGCCCAGCTGATGCTAGCACCCAGCAAGTGTGACATGCACACGCGGGGTTACTGTTACTAAGGACGTACCTGAGACCTGCTGCCCACCTCCCAACTCCCATCTCCAGGGAACCAAATCTCAACACCCTGAAGAGTTGAAGTGTGGGATTAAGACAGGACTAGAAGAAGGGGAAGGAAGACCCAAATCAGGAGGCAGATCTTCCATGCCCAGCATCACCTTTCTCCTCCACTCAAATTCAGTAAATACTCACTGATCACCTGCTCTGTGCTAGACCCCGAACAACTGCATCTTATAGACTCTAATAGAAATCCCAAGACTAAGAGTTAGTCTTTCTATGTTGCAGATGAGGAAACTCAAGCACCTGGGGTTACCATTGCTACCCATCCCCAACAAACTCCTATTCAAATGCCCCTGCTCCGAGAAGCCACTCCTGCCCCTTGGCTGGGGTAGGGAGTTCCTGGGGGCTCCCATAGCACCCCTGGCCCACTGCATCCTTCAGGTCTCAGTTGAGCCTCCCTGACTCCCCAGGCATGGAGTGGGTGCTCAGAACATGTTTACTGAATGAAGGAATGAATTTGTGAAAGGCAGAGTCAGGAAAGTTCTGCAACATTATCTGGTCTGACTCCCTCCGTTTACAGATTAGTATGTTAAAGGCAAGGCCAAGACTAGAATTTGTGTCTTCTGACTCCTGCCTGGAGCCTTGAACTGGTTTCGAAGGCTGAGTAGACATTCTCCAGGTGGACAAAGGGGAGGAAAGGCACTCCAGGCAGGGGGAAGGGCATGAGCAAAGGCACAGTGTGGGGATGGGGGAAGAGGGAGGTGTGCTTAAGGAAGGGTAAAGGGGATGGAGGTCCAAGTCTCCAAGGGCATTAGCCACTGTGCTAAGGTGTTGGTGACAGGGAGCCATCAAGGGTTCCAGGCAGGTCTTACCGTGTTTCCCCGAAAATAAGACCTAACTGGAAAATAAGCCCTAGCATGATTTTTCAGGATGTTCATAAGCCCTACCCCAAACATAAGCCCCAGTTAAGATCATCAGCCAGACATGACTGTTTGAATAAATGTAGATTTTCGTACATAAATAAATGTAGATTGTTGGAGCAAAAATTAATATAAGTCTGGTCTTATTTTTGGGGAAACATGGTAGGTACTGGGCTTAAAGGTGCCACCATTAGTCAACCCCTACCCAGGAGTCAGATAAGAGGGACAAAGTATGCTCCCACAAGATCTCATGAAAACTCATGTGAATCTAACATTTCCTAACTTGCCCTCCAGGCTAAAGTAGACTGGGCCCTGGGCCCTAAAAGGGGACAAGACCACCCAGGGGCTCTCCCAGTTCACACCAGTGGTGCCTCTTGGAGCTGGTGGACCACACTTCACTTTCCCTGGCCTGCCAAAGTCCAAGGGCTGATGCTCAGGTTGCGTGGGCCCCTAAAGTTCCTGAATGCACTCCCAGCGCCGGCCGCGCATCCCTCTGTGACTCCGGGACCCGGACCCAGTCAGCGCCTCTCGCACGCTTGTGCCTTCTCCTCTCTTGCCTCCCAGCCCCAGGCTCAGGGGCGGCCAGGAGCTTGGCGCCGCCACCTCCTCTTCCACCTGACTGCGCATCAGGTATTCTAACGCCGCAATCTGGTCTCTGCCCAGGCTAGGCTGACAGTTCAGGGACCTACAAACTGGGGCTTCCGCCGCTTTAGCGGGAGTGTGCCGACCCCTCTGCCGGCTCTCCGCGTCGCCCCACCCCAACCCCCTCCTCAGTCCAGCTGTCTCAACGGAGAGGCAGTCGCGAAGACTGACAGACGGACATCAGGCCGCCAGCTGAGAGCTCTGGCTCAACGAGCGCTGGGTCAGCTCCGTGGACGCGCGGGCTCTGCCTTACCTGTCCGCGCGTCCTAGAGACAGATCTCTGGCCCCCTCTAGACCTCAGTTTCTCTGTCTGTAAAGGGGTCGAAGTATGGACTAGCTGGGATGAATGACGTGGACATAGGCTGCGCCCGGGCTCTAGGTACAGGGGTGCACGCCCCTCCCCAGTTCCACCTGACCCCCACATTCCCCGTCGCCCGCTGGCGTCCTTCCACTTCCCCCCTCCCATTCGCCCTCAAATTCTTTCCAGATGTGCGCAGTGGGAGGGGCCTGGGGGCTGGGGCCAGCCCCTGGCCAGAGAAGTGGAAAGGCCCCTGCCGGGTCCGGATCGCTGAGGGGGTCGCGCCCCTGAGGGAGAGCTCCCCGGCGTGCCATCGGTGCAGGGCTCCAACTGAAGGGCGAGATGCGGCGGCCCCACCCGGGGCAGCTGCCCGGCTATCCGCACTAGGAGAGAAGTCCTAGTCCGCTGCCCAGGCTCAGCCCGGACCCCTCGGCCCAACCGGCCGCCCGCACCCGGTACCTGCTGCGCCCCTGCGCCGCGCCGCGTCCCGCCGGCGGAACGCGCTCTCCCGAGTCTCCGCTGCGCTCCGCGGGCGCGGGCTCCTTCCATTCAAGTCGAGCCGTGCGCTCGGCTACGCAAGTTTTGTT